TGATTAGTGGACTCACTGATTACAGCCCAGGAGGGACCTGTAGTCCTTGTTTTTCAGTCTCACAGCAGACAAACAGCTGTCATATGAAATCAACTTCACTTTAATAACGAATGTGATTCAGAGTCAGACTTTCAAAATAAAAGCACCAGCGTCCGTCCTGCTGTTCACGAGTCTGATGTGATTCATAGCCAACATTTCCAATGTGTTTTCCCACAATGCACTGTGGGTCCAGATCTCTACATGACTCCATAGAACAGGACGTCTTTAAAACCCTGAAAGCTGCTCTCTTCTTGTTCCCCCTCAAAGTCTGAAATTGATCCGGAGGGTCGGCGGTCTGAGCCCCTGTTGTAAAGACTTATAGTATATAAAGATTATAGAAACTCTTCATGTGTTTGTGTGCCTGCTGCAGCCTGTCAGTCAGTGTTCAGGGGCCTAAAACATGCCTGGCCTCCATAGTTTGGTGTCAAATGTAACTCGTTTTAAAAATAACCTGTTGGAAACAGAACTGAGGGCACATTTTATAAAAATCAATGTATTGATTTCAATATTTCTATTCGATGTTGCACTAAAGTGACACAATTAGTAAATATTAATAAATGTGATTGAGATTAAATCTGAATATTTCTCTGGATACATGGAAGAGTCGACTTAATGGGAATAAATAGGAGTTTGAGGAAAGTAACTGATTGGTTGCCGATGTTTTAATATTTAATATTTGGGAAGTGATGAAGTATTTTAGGGTCAAAAGGTTGAAGTCAATTAAAGATCAGATTTTTAACTCATTCTGTGTAGCAAGTACATCTATGTTCCATGTCTTATTTCTATCTTCTATATACTGTATTATAATGTACATAGTTCAGACTCCTAATGATATTAATATCATCTTATTTTTTATATTTATATTTTTTCTCTCCCAATATTATTATTATTTCTTTAATATCTTGTGACTAACTGTAACAAAACTAATTTACCATCAAGGATCAATAAAGTATTTCTGATTCTGAACATATATATTTTTATATAACAATTTAATCTTTCTTTGTCCGCCGTATTAAACAGGAACTTTGAATATTTATATATTATATATATATTTATAGTTTCCTGTTGAATGTGTCCATGAGGAGTCCCAGTACAACCAGTGACAGTTTGTGTGAGAGGTGGAGGTCGTGACCTTTCACAGAGAAAACTCTGTTTTATCTTATTTTACTCTTATTGTGAAATATCAGACCTCCAGGAAGCCTTCAAAATAAAATGCTGATATTACTCTGGCCTGTCGAAGTCCGACACTTTAATTTCTTCAGGCTTCTAAAACCTCTTAAATGAGATGAATGTAATCCACGAGCCCCCTGGAGCTGCAGCTATCTTCATTATCAACCTATCAATCAATAAATCGATCAATCGATCATCAGTTTGTTGTTGTCTCTTTATAGTGTCCATCACAGCTTGTCAGAGTCAGAACTGCTGATTCATTCATTTTCTGTCGACTAATCAGTGAATTAATTTCAGTTACACTGAGGCTGCAGACGGTCTGATCAATAACAATCCCACAATGCACTGGGTCTCATGTTATAAATGTGATTGACTGATGAACGTAGAGTGTAAATGTCTCCACCTGCTGGACGATTAATGTAACGACACCATCAGCATCAATCAGCGTCAGCAGCTTCGACCTCAACCAGAGTCTGAGCACATTTTATTATTTCAACTACAACCAGAGAAAATACTAAATAAAGGTTCTAACAAACCAAACTGTAACCTGAACCACCCACATTATGTTTACAGCATAATGATCCTGATCAGCCTGATCACTAATCAATACTCCCATTATTAAAGCATTAATCAACCTGATCAGCCTTTATAGGGTCACTAAAGAGGTCACTGAGAGGGTCACTCCGAGAGTTCACTGAGGTCACTCGCGGTCCTGAGAGGGCGTCACTGAGGGGCTCCTGAGCAGGTATCACTCAAATCAGGGGTCCTGACAGGGTCACTCGGGCGGTTCTGTTCCTGTTGCTCAGCAGACACATCAACTCCAACCTAAGTTCACTCACTGTGTTACAACTCAGAAAATACTCATCTCTCAAGACAGACTGGATTATGTCTTTAACTGTTGGTACCATGAGGACCATCCATAACAGCCTGTCAAGTCAATACACCATTACACCTTAACTTCAGAAACTGCCAGGATCCATCATTATCCTGAATCAATCGAATACAAGTTGATCAACACTATCTCTAGGCTCCATCGGGTGCAACAGCGCGTTCAGTGTTTATCTCGATCCACCAGTCCTGATTTGTACCGGAGAAACCTTATTGATCAGTCATACACCTCCGTCACTACGTTTATTGATTATTGATCAGTGTCACACGTATCCCTTTATGGATGATATTGATCAGTCACTCACCCACTGTATCTGTCATATGGATGCATTGCGACCTCAGTATACCAGCCCACTGCTATCTACTGGATGATCATTCTCTCAGTATGACCACTGTAACTTGTATCGATGATATTACAGATCAGATACCACTGTACTTCCACTATGGATGATTTCGAATCCAGTATACACTGTACTTCCCGTTTATGGATGAATACTTGATCAGTATACACTGTTCTCTGTATGGACTGATATTGACTCCTGTATCTCCGGACATCAAGCACTTGGCGCGCTGGACATATGATGGCCCTTTAAGCTTCGTGTTTCTAGGAGTACGCTTTGTTACGCAACAGTTAGGCAATTGTTAGACAAATGTGATATTTCTAAAGGCGAGTTTGGTCAGGAGAGCTTTTTAGTATGGATTCAAACCCTGCCTGATCATGCGACTCATTGGCAAAACCGTTTAGTCTCCACTAACACCAAACACTGCTCCACTG